GGGAGATTCACTGTTGTTTCCTAGGTAACAAGCACCCCCCTCCCTCCCTTTACCCTTGGTTCCTCTGGACTGTACCACTTTCACTGTAGGGTAGACGGCTGTGCTCCTTATCGAATAAAAGTGACTTCCTTGTTTAAACTGGACGATACATTCCAACACATTACATTAAAATGACGTTAAGCTTTACATTGTGGTGTTTTAAATCCGTATTAATTGATTATAAAACGGTTTTAATGTTCAGACATAAGCGTGAGCCCCCCCTCTCCCCCTCCAGCGAAATCACATTCAACATTTCATCGAACTGTCAAAATCGCTTGTTGCTTCCTACGAGCTTTTAAAGTAGTTAGCGAGCTAGCGTGTAGCGAGTGGTCGCGTACTTTTGCCTGTCACTGAAATACACTTCGACAGCGTTAAAAAGTTTGCTTCGATTGAAGAAATAGCCCGACGCCTGTGTAGAAGACCGCTTTTCACCGTCCTGCTCCTGGGTAGAGTCTGCTCCAACCTAAATAGCGCTGTCGAGAGGCGGCGGCTGAAGTGCAGCTGGATGTGACAGGTTCGTCATCAGGTAAGCTGCAGGTAGTTAGCTTAGCGGTTAGCGCGCTGCGGCTCTGGCAGTGCCTACCTAACACTCTTGTTGCGACATGGTGACTGTATTGCATGTTTTTTTTGGACAGTAGAGGGAGTAAAACATGTTTTAAAGGTGCTACTCCTGTCCAAAAATAAATAAAAAAACACAATGCATGCATGTCTAGACTGCTATGCTAGCTTTTAACGAGAAAGCTAATGGAAATAAGTGAAAGTAAACAACCTTTGAATCAGCGTGCATCACATTGTAGTTGTCTCTGTGTATCTGCACTGACTCTATAAACTGCTTTCTGTGTGTTTGCTCCTATTCAAAGTGACTGTAGGGTTGATAATAAATCATTTATTATTGATGCGGTGATACAGATGTTCTGGTCAATCATGCTTCATTTCACATCCACTGAATGCAAACGTATAAAACCCAATTAATGTAATAGCACCTTAATTAATGGATGTAATTGCTGTGTGCAAGACGAAATAAAGCAGCTCTAATGAGACATAAGTGGAGGCACATTTTAATCTACTGCAGGTTGGCTGAGCAAGACCCACTCTCCTTACACCTGGGTAAGGTTAATAAGTTGTGGTCAGTCCAGCTGCTGGGTCATGCATGTGCTGTTATTGATGCTTATAAAAATGCAAAGTGACATCTCAGGACACTATGTACTTATATAAACAGGATGCAGATTCAATTCAAATGAGCCATCGGTAAAACAATATAAAGAGGACTTTGGCTTATATGGATTATCCTTCATTAAAGCTATTGCAGCAAAGGTGCACTGTCTGCTCAGCGCACTATATGAATGTTAAGAAATTGCCTTTTTTGTGTTATAAGTATGAAAAATGGCTATAATCTTATAAAGGGTATATTTAGCATTAGATTAAGCCACAGAAAAGCAACAACATTATCTCCCAATCTAGTAGGATTTCAGTACTGGTTGATTTTTTTTATCCTTTGCACAGCCTTGAACTCGCTCCAAAACAAACTGGTAGGTTAACCATTTGCCTGGCCTACGCATCCCATTACGGCACTTGTTTATTCTCAATCCCCATGTGTGACGGACTTACCAGAATGGGTTTGAAGCGGAAGGAAGCACATCTCTGCGCCGCTTGATATTTGATCAGTGCTAATAATAGAAAAAAAGACAGCTGCCTTTTCATTGATCTGTCTTCGCTGGCCTATTTCTGAGTCCTGTTTTCTCTGTCGTGCTTAATTATCCAGTCGTTGAAACATAGAATACTCTCCTCTCTGCTTGGGGGAGCATCATTTAACACAGTTTTTCTTTAACCCATTGTACTTTATATGCTGTAATTAGTCATTGGTTGTGAAATGGAAGCTATGTTGGGCCACAGAAGCTGGTTTCTGTGTGTGAGTGAGCCAAGCCGTTCGGGGTCAAACAGGACAGGGATAATAAGAGGGGAGGGGGGATACCATGTGGGAAGGAAGTGGCTCGGCTTGTTTGTCTGCCAGGCTTTTGTTTGTTTTCCTGTCGGACAAATCTATTTAGGAGGCAGCCTATCTGAGGCCTGCCGGTGAAATTAGCTACAAGAATGGCTTGCCTCGTTGCACAGTTATTGACAGTTATACAGTAATGTGGTTATTGAGCCAGATGAGAAATTGATAAGCTTATTCTCTCCGTGGTGATGGAGCAGGCTTGTTTGTACAACTGCTATTGTTCTGGATGAATCGTTGAGTTGTTTTCTTGTGGACACACCAGTCATGTTTCATCCTGCAGCAGTAATATACAGTTGTTGCTGTCCAAAAAGCATTCCCGTCCCTTCAAATCTGATGCATCTGTGTACATGGTGTAGCGTACTGTGCCTACCTGAACAGAGCATGTAAGGTGACACTTGTGCTTCTGACAAAGGCTGATATCCCCTCACCTCCCTGTCCATGCTTATGTAATGGCAGAGCACTGGCCTGTGTTATTTAATTACAGGTGCCCTGATGCCTTCGGCTGGGCTCAGACTACAGGAGTAATAAAATCCAGCCAATTTAAAAATCTGGTTGCATCAATTGACTAAGGAGAAACTTCACAGATATTATCCTTTCTTCTCCAAAACATGCACACACTACAGCAGAATATCACCGTTCATACATCCAGCTTTACTGATACTTTGCAGGCATAAAAAACACAAATAAATGTGCAGGGCAGCTCCATTTGTAAAGCAACCTTAAAGGCAGAGCTGCGGCAACAGGTTTGATTCCGCTCCTCAACCCCTTTGCTGCATGTAATTTCTACTCTCTCTCTCTTCTTCCAATATCTCCCGTCTCTTCATAGCTGTCCTTTCATAACCGAGGCAAAATGTCAAGAAATATGATCTTTAAAAAAAAAATTACAGAAAATAAAAAAAACAACAGTATGGACAGGAATAACTATATTGGAGAAGCAGTTGATAGGGTCCACTTCATTCTTCAGCGAGAAACGGACGTTAGGTCTTGAGGTCAGTTGTTATAAAGTAATAAAGTGAGTGAATATACAATGATGAGTTTGTATATGAACACGCTCTTAATTGTAGTTTGTAAAGAAGGTAAAATGATCAGTACCGGCTACCAGGAGAAACATTTCTAGAAAGTGCTGCAACTCTTCTCTTCCTCCTTTTTAATTCAATCACTTCTTAGACTTGTTCAACCCCATTACCTGATGACCAATACAGACAAAGGTCCTACACTTCTCTGAGTATTAGGAGAAATTAATCCGGTATAAAACGGCCCCAACTCCTGTAGTCTAAGCCCTGTTACCCAAGATGACATCGGTATTAAGTGTCATTTGCTTCGTTGGAAAAATGTTCATGCTAAAGACATCAATTCCCCCAACCCCGTCTTCCAAAAACCATTAGGCGCTTTATTGCCTGTTGAGCATCAGATTGCATGGAGCTATTATAGAATAATCAGACACTAAATAGATCTGTTTCAAATGGAACTGTAATGCATGTTTAGCCACATTGATGTCAACGAAACACCCAGGCTGCAGCGTCATTCAGAGCCCTTTGTATGAGGCGGAGAGAGACAGACACAGGGGGAGACAGACACTACAGCTGTTCTATTGAATCTGGATCGAAAAGTCATGAAGCTGGATCTCTGACTCATCAGTTCTGTGACGCTCCGGTTTCACGGCTCATGTGATGCCAAGCAGCATGTCATCAGCTGGGTGGAGGGGAGGGAGGACGGGTGGGGTGGGGGGGTGGGAGTAGACAGACCCAGCCTTTTTCTTCAAGCAAATTCTGATGCAATAACAATAACAGAAATGTTCACTTCTGTGCAATTTTCTGGTCCAATAAACTAAGGAATTAGATTGGAATGGAGCTTAAAGGATATCTGTGAGACACTGGTAACATACAGGTGACGGGTGAGGAAGGGGAGGGGATTCCTGGATGTCAGGGTGGATGAGTTTAGAGGACGGATGCTGATGGGAGGTGGAGGAGAATTGGGATGGGGGGGGGGGGGAGTAGGTGCAATGCTCTTGTTTCCTGGGAGGGGGGATGGTGGGAAATATGATAGAACATAGACAAGGGCAGGCCTGATCTTCTTTATGCAACTGCAGCAACTCTTTCATTATTGCTTACTTGTGTTGTTTTGTGGTGTGAGCAAAAAGTCAAGCCCTTACATGCATCAATTATTGAAAACATCCAAGTTTTCCATTTTGACAAGTGACTAAAGAAAATGATGTCTTACATTGGCTAAAAATGGAAATGTGATTTTTCAGAAGGACATTGGCGCTTGGACTCTATGGGGTGGTTGATGTGTTTGGAGAATGTCAGTTCTGAGCGTCCACAGAATACATCCCCTCCCGTGGAGTCCAGACCTTGGTGGTGGTGAAGCTGATGACTTGTTGGGACCAGATGGGTAGAGAATTGATGGATGATGATTTTACAAAGACGGGCGAGGATGGGGAGGTGATGGCTTCATACTGAACATCGGCATGAAGGAATTAAGCCAGAGAGACATTGTATTCAAAAGGGGAACAGAACGACGATAGGCTGACAGTGAGGGAGGAACACCATGCAATTCGTTAGTTGAGGCCAGCTGACGAGACAGCTGATTACCCAATGACAGCCCCAGAAAATGGCGGCACGAGAGAATGACAGCGGAAATGTGAGTGAGGGCGCGTAAGAGTTATGAATGAGAGATAGACGCAATCGTGAAGGCAAGTATATACAGTTGTCTTCCTGACTGAAGTTTCGCTAAAGCTTCATATCACGAGATGGGGTGAAATTTCAACCTATGGCATAACATACACTTTGGTGCATAACAGAAGTATAATTCAGTTATATTTAAGCTCAATCTTTTGCTAAAGGGAAGCGGATGTAATGTGATAATGTAGGTGGTTCATATTTGAAATAAGATATCATCAGTACAGGATAGGATAGACAAAGGATGGGCTTTCTAGTTTAACGGGGCGTGAAATTGGGGAAATACCTTCTAAAAATCAGCATTGAGAAGGGGATACTGTAAGCACAGTTTTCATCCCAAGCACTTAAACGTCTCTGCTCCAATAGAGAGGCTGTGATTCAGAGGAGGTGTTTTTCTATTGGGTGTAGCTTTTGAAGGGGCGGGACTATGCCACAGGCTGGTGGGCAGGAAGGGGCTGGCTTTAGGGGAGTGTGTGTGTGTGTGTGTGTGTATGTGGGGCTTGCTGGAAGTGTTTGAGCCAGATAGTTGGAGTAGACACTCTTCTGCTTCCTGCCTGCCTGTTTGCCTCACTCGCAGAGAGAGAGAGAGAGTAAGAGAGAGAGAGAGAGAGTAAGAGAGAGAGAGAGAGAGAGAGAGAGAGAGAGAGAGACATCGAGAGAAAATCCCTGTCTAGGCATGGACCTCCGGCTGCAGCAGTCGGCAGCTCGCGAGGAATGACAACAGCTCACATGGTCATTAACTCCAGTCGCTGAGGCTGAGGGGAGAGCCGCGCAGTAAAGCTCGGTGTCACAGCAGCGCCGGGTGCTTTCTATGATTGGGACAGCAGACAAGACAGCAGAGCGACGGGACACGAGTGAAATGAGGTGGGAAAGAATCGTCATATTGACAGTTTTTTTTTTTTTTTTTTTTTTCAGAGATTGTGTTCTGGAGGTTTTTGCTGCAGTGTGCTGCATACCAGCCTGGGTGGGGAGGGAGGAGAGGGAATGTTTTATCAGAGAGAAAGAGGCTGAAAATGTAGAGAGTGTGGGATCAATGCACAGAAGCACTGGGAGCTTGCAGCCAGGCAGCCTTACCGCAGTTTCCAGCACTGTAATGGACTTCCTAAGGGAGAGGCATTACCACAGCAGCTTCCCTAGTGCAAATGTCAGGAGCTTTTTTTTTTTTTCTTTTTTGCCACACTGGCTCCATATTTTTCACTCTCTTGAGAAAAAAAAACTTGTGTTGTGTGGCATCTGTCGTGTCCCTGTTTTCTTTTCATGCTTCTTGTTAAGTTTTAAACTCATACTGAAGTGCGAATTTCCCAAATAACAAGGACAAAAACAGAGTCTGATGTGACATTCTTTTTATAAGCTGGAACTTCACAGTTCTAATAGGACCCGCATCATAATTAACCTTTCCAGGGAGATGGGGGCATGCTTGACGTGTCCCTTGCTTTCCGCCGTCCATCCCAATTTAGCTCTGGTCTGGCGTGGTCAAGCTCTGGACATCATCGCCTGCATAGAAAAGGCCAGGGTGGTGTCATACGTCTGGCTGTGGATCAACGGGAAGTGGGTGTTTTCCAAAAGTGGAACATCAGTTCAGCCCTTCCTGTTGAGAAAATAATGGGATAAGTCTCAGAGGAGTCCAGGACCCCGTCAGACAGAAATCCCCTTCCTCTGAATCGGCTCTCATGCATATTACACCTCGAGTTGGTATTAAAAGGATTTAGTGGTTTGTGGGTTTTTAAGACATCCTCTGCATGAAAGAGGGAGTCCGATCGCGCAGTGACTCGAGGTTTGCTGAATCATTCAGCTCTTATGTTTAAAGTGTTGTAATATGAAGATTAAGATTTCAAAGAACAAGAGTTTTAATCTAACGTTGTTTTACATATCCTTGATTTAAGCTTCAATGAAGTGTCAGAGGAGCATACACAACACTGACTGTGCTTCATTCTCTGCATTAGACTTTCAGATTAAGGAAGCCGGGTATCCTTTTAATCAGCATGTTTATCTGAACAGCACTGCTCACCTCTGGCTGCCAACTAAACTGTAATTAGATGATGACTTGCCCGAATCCTGTTGCTAAGCAGGCAGCAGAGAAGAACACTTACACAGTTAACAAGACAGTTAACTAGGGCTGCCCCCTACAAGTCGGAGATTCAAATCATTAAACCGAGAGGTCCAAAACAGCGTGCATTTTGCCAGTTCAAACTTTTCTTGAACAGTGTACTATATGTAGAAATTCAGGAGCAACAAGATGGCAGACTAAACTTTAAAAAGCCGAATTATCAGCACAGGTCTCCTTCATTCCAAAACACAACCAACGAATATTCAAAGTAAAGATCCTGAGAAAGCATTGAAACTCTAAAAATCTGTGTTTGCTCAAAGGTCCCTGGTGGATGTAGGAATGTAAAAGGGGCTGTCAGCTGAGCTGTCACAAGCTTCTTTCTCGCTACTCAGCTTTTTCACATCTGAGGTTCATAGGAGGTGGCGAATTATCTGCAGAGGTCTCCTCCTCTCCAAGACAAAGGACCCCTTTATTAGAATCAGAAAAAAAACACTAAATAAAGCAGTTAATGTGTATTTCTCAGATGTTCTTTGGCGAGGCTTCAGGGCATGCAACAAAGCTGCAGCTAACAAAAGTTTGTTTATCTCTGTTTCTAGACACCTGATGAGTACAACCCTCCATATGAAGAAGAAGGGTTGTACTCATCAGGCACATTAACATCGGAGACATTTGGTACTGATTAAAAACAAGAAATTACCCAATATTTGGTTCCTAGGACTTCTATTTTTGTTGCCATGGTATCTATACAGGTGTTGATATTATGTTATTTTTACGGTCTACAGTATCTGCTCTTCATTATGCTTTACTGTGCTGTCCTGTGCTTGCATTATGTCCCTCCTCAATCCAGGACAACTTCTTTTTGTACCAATTAATGTGGAGGTACAGTATCTGATGGCTAGCTTGAGTTTCATCTGCATTATCCAACGCATGGGCATTGTACCAACCACGGCCTTCATCACAGATTTAAAAGGTTTGCACCCTGTGAGAAACAAGGCCTCTAAATGTAAACATTTGTATGCCTATTAATTGTTACAAATCTGACTTTTGCAGTGTGTTTGTTGCAATAATTATTATGTCACAATTAACTGTGCAGCTCCTAATGCTCTTGTATGCTGATGTATAGGAGTTTGGTGTGACAAAAAGATATACACGCTCCATATTTTACAGCCAAATGAGATATTATTGTCAATCTGGTCCAGATGTTAAGTTCACCGTGTGCAGGGGTTAATATTAATCTAAGGTAGAGTCTGTTGATGTGATTACAGCAGATGATAGAAAAGGGTTCATCATCTGTTCTGTAATATAATATAAGCCACTGATCAGGAGAGAAAGGCCCGATGCTATATCATGAGCAGGGCCATCGGGGTCACTGTGATTAAGCTAAGGGTATTATGATATGGGGCACACCTATCTGCTGACTCTGTGAAACACTTCATGTGCTGCCTGGCTTAGACCTGGTATATCCTCTGCTGAGCTCACTCACCCGTCCTTATCGCTAATGATGCTATTGAACTCAAGGAGCTGTAGCTTATGCCAAAGACAATTTCATAAGCATCTTCAGTGTCTGTGGTGTTAAACCTCATGAGGCTGCTGCAGCGTATAGCCTCGCTCTCATGCTATCTGGAAGATGCAAAGGAACATTTCGCAGGCCAACAAGCTGGTCTGTTTGGGAAAGAGGACATTTTGATAAAGCCTGCACTTACAAGCCTCACTCCTTTTCCATTACTCACTGGAAACTGCACATTTTCCTATTTCCCCTCTACAATGAGCCACACTCTCCACAGCCTTGAAAAACATTGACCACTTGTTCCTCTCGGGCCATGCAAATCACCATAGAAGAGCAGTTTGCCTGCGTGAAATGGTAATAAATGTAAATGCAGCACTCAGGTGCCCGGCTTGTGTGCTTTTCTATTGCACTCACTTGTATTTCCACTTCTTTTTTATATATAACCGGCAACACCTAGCTGAAGCGACAATAAACGTTGTCAAGGCGTGGGGACCAATGAAAAGCAGGTAGCTTATCATCACTGCTGAGCCAATACAAGCAGCTAAGATAAACTGCAGCGAGCAGATACCAGACTAATGGGTTACATACGAGGTATTCAGAGGTCAAGCCAATGACTTTCACTCGAGACACCCCCTTCCCCCTGACTCGCATGCAATTAAGCAGACTGACCAAGATAATGCCCCCGTCAGCTGGTCTTAGTAAGCGTCAGTAATCCATAAAGTCTAGTGCTTTTCTTCACATCTCTGTCCGGCTTTATCAGGTCACCCGGTCTGTCCAGTGTTTGGACTGGGAGCACCGGGGGGGAACTAAAGTTAACACGCTGATGTTTTGCGGATGTAGCTCTTTAGGTTTTATTTTGACAGTGGTCCTGTTAGGGTGGTCACAACACCAGGATTTTGAGACCTGTTTTGATCCTAGTAGTAATAGAATGACTGCAAAATCTGTTTCGATACCATGGCAACCAAGTCCAAGGAGGCACCCAAAATTGCATAATTCATTGTTTGTTTTTGATGACTAAAAATTGCAGGCAAACTCGTGCACAGTTTCCAATGCTTTTGTGCAATTTAGACAGTGTGCAGCCAGAGTTCGCGTGATATTTCCCAGATTTATTCCTCCAGATTTATTACCTGTCTTATGAAAACAATGTACTTGCACTATACTGTACCTGTAATCTTGTTTCTGCAATAGTTAACCTTAACCCGACATTAGACGGTAGAGACGACACCTTCTTGTGCCATAACCTAATTATGTTTACCTGCATCAGATTTTAGACAATAGAGTCAGCAACTAAGGTTGTGTTCTTGTATTAAATCATTTAAAATCCCAAGTAGTGTAAAGCCAGCTGACTGCACAAAAAGAGTAGCTGTTTCATTTTCCTGTTTTCATTTGAAAAACTGAGTTATCTTTCTGTAGTCAGAGCCAGATTATTACAGTATCAATCTTTGCATCAAGTATAATTCTGTTCCATGCTCATCTGTGAACTCTTGAAGGCTTTAAATCTGCAGACACAGACCCTGGTTGACTCATAAAGGTTTATAAGAGAGCTGATCCCTGAGGTCAAAACACTGGGGGCGATATTGTCCCCTCTTACCTGCCAACCATCTGCTCAACCCTCCCTTTATAGCTTGAGCCTTTTGCTTAAAGTGTGATGCTAAGCTAAACATATTCTCAATCAAGCTAGGCTGCATGTAGTCTTCTTTTGGAATAAACTAGCAGATCCTAAGCTAGCCTTAGCAAAGCCAGAAGCACACTTCCCAAGGACGCATCAAACCTCAGCTGGATTCTTCCAAAGCAGTCATTTTTGCAAAGCAGTTCTCCTCCTCTGTATGTTTGAGTTTCATGCTTCTTAAGATGGGATGTTGTTAGACGACAGAGGTGACAGTTTTCTCTCCGGGATGACAGTTTGCTTCCCAGCAGGGGCTTTGGTGTGTTTCAAGAGTGACAGACAGCTCTGCCGCTCTACTAAAGAGAGGCTAGCATTAGCTAACGTGCTTTGGCAGCATCAGGTCCACACATCCATCTCTTTCGAGGCTACTTTCGGCAGAGCACATGAAATATGCTGCAATAATAAATGGTTATGGCTCAGAGTTTTCAGTACGTTTTTGTTCCTTAGAAAGTCCTTGGGCTGTTTCTTATGAATATTTCACTCTTGAGATCATTTTTAATTGTCTACTAAGTATTTGGCCTGTAAATTATTAATTTGACTTTTAAAGATTCTTGGGATTTCTTGGAAAGTGCACTTATCCAGCTAATGTTTGTGTGCCCACACAAAGCACAGATTTTGTGTATAATAACACCAATTAAAATTAAAGGCAATCATCCAACTGTCTTTAATGCACCCTGACTGATAAGAGATTCTTGAAGCTGATGCCAATCATTCCTCTAAAGGGTAAAAGTTCCCTGATTACTGCTATGGCCTCTCATACACTGATTTGTTGAATTGAATGAGAACTGACATTTTCTATGTCGTTTTGAGGGCTGCACAATAGCTTAAAATGATATCATTAATTTCTGAATTGTATTTTTTTCCTTCATTATGTCATTTTAAGTTGGCGTATTGCCACTAAGTGCAAACTTGGAAAGGTTAGAACGCAATACCGACATATCTGTGGCTCCAGATGTGCACGAGTCGAAGATTAAACGTTAAAATGCGTAACCACATTCAGCACAGGCATGTGGACGTTAACCTGCAGGAGGATTGATGCTAAAGGACTGCTAGCCAATGTTAGCCAATAGCCACACTCGGCAAACCAAGTTGCTGTTGTTGCAGACCAGTCGACTTGTCTGAATTTAAATTTCTGTGTACTCAACAGTGAAATTAATCACATATTTGTATCTGTGACTGGCCCATATTAGCCTTTTAACATTGGCTGACTGACACATCAATTGGACACATGTCTACACTGTATGGACACAGACATGTGGCCACATTCCTGCATGTTTATTACATTAGCATCACCCGCATGAGGGGCCTGTTTGATCTTCTGTCGTCAGCTTTATGTTTAGAATATCTTACATGACCAACATTGTTTGAATGCTGCCTGTTGAAACCGCCGAGAGTTTTTCAGAAGACCCAAGCCAACCCTCATCCACACTGTCGACTTGTGTGATTTTGTGGAAGCTTTCTGTGCGGTAATCTCCATTTTTTTCCCATAAAAATATAGAATTATTGATGCCTGTGTTCTCTAATTTAACATGAGCTGCTTCCTGTTTTGAGGCCAAGTCTTTTCACGGTGCCGTTGTCCTTCCCTCCACATGTTCCGACAAAGTAGGTTAGCTCCATCGCAGACGTCTCATGGCTTCTAAAAATAAGATGGGTTTAATTGTAAAAGGTCAGATCTGACATGATTCTTACCTGACTTTCTCCTCTGCTGTGATAGGCTCTGTCTCCCCGGGGAGATGGTGTGAAATTAAATCCTGCCTTGGAGAGTACAGCCCCGGCGTCAATATGATGGGACGCGGAAGCTTCTCATCTCATTTCACATGATCAGCACTAAAGTGGGACAATATGATTAGCTAGACAAAGGTCTGGATTTGTAGGCTTGGATCAGTTTAGTGTTGGTGGGTGATTTTAAGGGGAAGTGTCTTTTTGGCACTTGTTGTCGGAGGAGAATCAACATGCCTTCAACTGCAAGATTGTTTGAGTCTTTGGCCATTAATGAATTTGGTTATATGGCCATGAAGGTCAAATACAACAGCATTCCAGGAACATACTGTTTGGCATAAAGACAAAGACAGTAGACAAAACACAGCATTTCACAAAAGGACATTGAATCAGAAGCTTTATTGACCAGGTGTGCAGTTCATCCAACCCCCCCAAGTTAAAGTGGAAGTTCTGCTGTTTGAGACAGTGGTTAAGGAATCTTTTGAAATTTGATCACACCTTAAGGACTGTACACCTGTATGTGTTTTCCTTTACCATTTAGAGTAGCCCACCTGGTTGGCGAGCAAGTCTGAACGTGCCCTCATATAAAAAGGAGCTTGTCATTTCTTTGAGGTTTAAGATATTGTTTGTGGAATATTGAACGTTGGCTCTGTGTTTGCTCTTGCCTTGTCTGTTTTCCGTGTAAACGTTTCTATGTTTACAACAGTAAAGTGGGAATCTTTTCACCAGAGTTGAAGGTTTTTATAACCCCTCTCCTCCTTCAGTCTGGTGTCCTCGGCCCCCTTTTCCCGACCCCACCCGGTAAGCAGAAAAACATTTCCAGATGTGCCAAGAAGAGAGCTCCCTGAGCAGTAGCTTAGTAATGGATTTCAAACACTGAAAACTAAAGGTCACAACCCCCGATTGTTGATCCAGTGATTGCTGGAACCCCCCCCCCCCTCCTTTCTCCCAAGGTAACAAACACAGAGCCCAATGCCTTTACAGGACAAGACAGGGAGCTCATACACACATTCCCCCGATGAATGTGAATCTACAAGCTGCTGTCAATGAGCCACTATCTAATTTGGACGGTGGTGGAGCAGTGAATATTGCAGGACACTGGAAAGCGTCATAATCGTGTCTGGCACTGGCATATGCATCTGTCTCGGCCCCTCTGTGGCTGCTGGACTGCTGCCCGGAATAATGCTGCGCTGCGCGGTTTTCTATTGGCTGCAGCATCCCACCGTGCATGGCTCTACTGGGCGGGTTTTTGACCCTGGGGCTTTTTTCTCTAGCTCTTGTCCACTGTGTCATAGCACAGAGGCTTTTGCAACTCACCACTTTGTATGCAATATGCCAGAGAGCCGTCGGGCGTGTAGTCGCCCTCAACAATGGCACACAAGCAGAGATATGAGGACTTAAACTCCAGTGGCTTCTGAATAACCTCCCAACTGCGTTTTCTCTGGTTCATGAGCCTTGTAGCCTCTGAGGCAGCATGCACTCAAGGGAATCCCTCAAAACGCAGTACACCGACAGGGTTGGCGGGCGGTTTTGCAGGACATAGCTTTGCATGCATCAGCAAGGCTTCGTGACGGTCAAAATGACGCAGTATCTTATTCCCCATTGAGTCTTCTGGAAAACAAATATTCAACATCGATGCATAATTTAAGCCTGCAGTATGATCATTTGCTTTACCTAACCAGGTCGTTCTGGTGCCTGAAACCATAAAAAATTGACCTTAATAAATTATTATTAAACAGTTGCGGTTTTTAATTGTTCAGGCACTAAAAGTACTTGGTTAGATTTTTGTTTTTGGACCTCATTTAGGCCTCCTTATTACCAATATACTTAAGCTATATGCCTGCACAGTGGTATAAAAGTGGTATTGGTTGATATTGCAACAACGGTATGATGTGCAAATCAAAGTATTGTAGTAGTAGTGTATTTAACCACTCATTTGTCACCAAAATTAGGGAGTCTATGAACACCAATGAAGGCTGACATGCAAACACAAACACCTACAATAGCTGTTGAGGCTTGTTACTTAAATGGTAAAAAAAATAATCACACTCTGTTTGTTTTGTGTCTCTCTTCTTCTGTTTCAGATCACAGACAGAAAGTGCCTTGTGAGACCGCGGCCCTACTTGAAGATATCTGTGCTCTTCTGAAGAGCTTCAGATTTTTTTTCCCCCTCTGCAGTCGTGACAGGTCATCGCTCAGCCGCAAACACCTGTGCTCAGAGAAGAAAACAGTGGAGCTGCTGCACTGCTGGCCGAGGTGCCAAACCTCATTAAGAGTAGGTACTGAAGACTTTTAGTAAACCACAAACTTTGTTGTCCTAAACTGTGCCATTGCACCTCAGAATAGCACCTCTTTGCCCCCCAAACATCTGATATCATCGCTCATACAAAGGACATTTTGGGGGGACATTGGTACAAACATTAACGTTTGGCTCCAAGTATGCCCCCTCTGCCTTGTCAGAGGTCTTCACCTGAGACTTACTGATTGATGAACAATTAGCTTTTTTGACTGACAAACTCCACAACAGCAGTGCTGTCCCATGCTCCCATAGTCCATTACCTCCACTTTCCTGTCCACAAGGACAAACCTCATCCACTGACCTGACGCAGATCATTCACAGCTTCATGTCCCTTCGCTTTTAGTTTGTTGTGTGTTTTATTTTTTTTTAACTGGGACATTTAAAAAAAAAAAAAAAAAGGCCTCCCCTCCAGAGGATAGCCTCCTCCTTCAACCCGAGTGGCTCCACTCCACCCCATCTGCCGACATGGCTCTAAACATCGCCTCGATACGGGACACAAAATGGCTGACCCTGGAAGTGTGCCGGCAGTTTCAGAGAGGGACCTGTTCGCGCAGTGATGAGGAATGCAAATTTGCCCACCCACCCAAGAGCTGCCAGGTGGACAACGGGAGGGTGATCGCCTGCTTTGACTCGTTAAAGGTGAGCACACAAAAACAGCCATTTGTTGGTATTTTTTTTGTTTGTTGTAAATTCTGCTATAATTTTGTTTTATATAGACAGACAAAATGGATCTACCTAGTTAATTTCCCTTTACACATTTATCAAAGGATGTACATAAAATATACAGAATGAGATAACATCACTGCTGCCCAGCTGACACGGCATTAGGACGTAAAATGTTACAGCTCTGTAGTTCCTAATGGTCGGTGGGTGTAGGTTGTCAGCTCAAATTAGTTTGTGTGTCAAGCCTTCATGCTGTGCTGCAGTTCGCAGACCGGTCTGACCTATGAAGCTAAAGGCCACGGAGGTCTGTTGTCATGTTCACTGTCACCACAGGTGTGTGTGCGAGCGCAAATGTGTGTGTGTTTGGTTTTTTATATGGTAAGTTCTTCTTATGTTACCCCCCCCCCCCTTGTCCATCATGTGTATCGAGGGAACATCTGATCGCCTGAAGTCATTTCAGGGCTTCTATTCTTGGGGTGCAAGTCAGCTGTTGCACACAAGCAACAAACATCATAAACAGCCAGAGCTTGTTGTGATGTTTGGTTCCCACAGATCCAAGCAGAGGGATCGGTCCGAAGATTAGAGCTTCCCCTTTTTTTTAGTAAGCTTAAGACAAGTATGCCAATCTTTAATGGATAGCTTTGTGAATATTTACTACATCTGGTTGATTTGAAAACTGCTGGAGGCCTATGAAAGGGAATTCTGGTATTTTTTTAACTCCTTTTGGCATATTTTGGGGTCTAAATGATCCCAGAATGCTTTGAAATGGTTTTCGTTTTGAGAAGGGCTTAAATGGCTAAAAAGGAATCATTTGGGTTTTATGCATATGAGTGAAGGACATCCTCTCAAAAAGATTGTTTTTACCACTAACAGCCTGCAATTATAAGTGTCTTCCATGGATCCATGTTGACATATGGAGACCTTTTAGGCATGAAAAGATCCAATTTTCTGCCAGAAGCAGCTGCAAAATCCCCGTCTTCCAAGCTACCGAAATTGACAAAAACAGTCATTTTGGCTTTGCAGAACATCAGGGTTTCTAATTTGCGCCTGCCTCAATCAGTTACTTTTTTTTTTACATTTCATGTTTGAAAAGACAAGTTGTGATCATGATAAAAATTTGTGCAAGACGTAACACATAAAAACGTACTCATTGAGGCAGTGGTAGACGAGACAACCCCCATGTCCTTGAAGGTAAAGTTCTAGTTTCTGTCAATGGAGTTTGGCAGATTCGAGAAGAACGGCTGTTTTTGAGGAGAAAAAAAAACATGCTACTTTTAACAAAACGGTAGTGGTACTCTAAGACACATTGTCAGACAGATTACACTGCAGCGATTGCAGCCTGAGGCAATCCACTGAGACACTTTCAAAATGGTTTGAATCTTCTTGTCACTGAAACACCAAAAACATTTCAAAAATAGGGCCCAGGTTTAAAAATATTGGTGGCTTTTTTTATTGGTGGTAAATTATCTTAACACCAGACACTTTAAACATATCCCCAATTATATGAAGGTTGTCTCACACAGACTCCCACATAAGAGGACCGCATCTAAGAGTAACCCGACGTTTAGAAGCTGCGAGGGGGAGAAAAAAAACAGCTTTGACAATGATAAATAGCCGGAGAAACTAGAGCAGAACGCTGAAACTATGAGGTCTTTTTTTTAAGGTGTGAGCTACATTTCATGTATACGGCAGTGCAGCTTGCAGAGAGTGCATGTCACACTTTTCAAGGTGATGCACAAGGACGAGAGAGAGAGAGAGAGAGAGAGAGGCGAGATAGATTCACGTCCAGCAAAGAGCATTTCTTGGTGCAAATTTGGGAACTTTTTCCCTACATGATGTTTTCAGGAGGGTTGTGCTCCTATCCCTCCTGTGAGCTTTCCACACACCTCCACATTTTTCCTACTTTGAATCTTCATCTTCAGAGTGTGTTAAAGCCCGCTTCATTACAAGCTGCTCACGGCGGATTATTTATTCGACATCTGAAAACAAGCTGCCCTTTACGTCGCTATCAGCTGTTTTCTTGGCGAGCTCATGGTAAGGTTCACTGAAATATGGCTCGCAGTCAGTCACTGAGTGACATTCCCTCCCTGGCTGCCAGGTTTTGCGAGCTGTTATGCCGTTATGGTTTAATGGGCAAACAGCTGATTCCAATCGGGATCGATTTGTTGTCGCAGCATGCGAGGGAAAGTCCTGACACGGAGCCTCTCTGCACATGACATTATTTTGCTGCTCCCTGAGAACTCCACCCAGTCATCCCTGACTGAGGAAACTAAACGACTGGAGCGCTCAACCTCATACTCATGCCACCTCTCATTTAGACCGATGTTTCCTCGACAAATAGTGGCTCAAGGCGGCCCACTGGCAATCCGTGCGTCATCTGTACCTCACTCTACAGAATACAACAAAAGCCTGCATTTAAGATGCACTTAGAGGCTGCTTTGAAGCTTAAAAGAACCTCCCTTATTCTTTAACTTTTTCTCTGATTAGGTTTAACTAAGAGGAAAACCCTCTCATAATAATGACCAAGTCTTAACTAGACCCCTGAGAATCAACTCGGCAACCTCACAGCTGTTGTTGGCTTCATCTGTTGAACAACTGAGTCTCATCTCCAAAGTGTGCGCAGGGTGGATGATTTGATGTAATCTGCTGAAATGTCAATCAGTGCCTTGTTGGAAAGACATGCCTTCGCTCCCTTAGCAACACACACTCCTGTGAAACCTGCAAAGTGCATGATGCTGGAGCTGCATGATCATCTTGACAGCTACTATAAACGTGATATGACCCCCGATGATCTGGAATTATTTTTTTTTTTGCAGTTCATGATAACTTTCCTATGAACTGCATTATTTTAGAAATAGAGGATCGAAGAATTCAGTGATGAAATTGGTAAACATTTGTGTTTGTGTCTTGATATTCATGTGATGATTATCTAACTATATCCCAATTTGTATGTACAGTGCCGTCATTTTTTGCAGCCATATTTGTCTTTCATACTCTCTCTCACCACTCAGTCGGCTGACGGATGGAGCATACAGGATTCTCTGTGTTTTACCTCCAGCTCGCCCCCTCTCTCCCAAAGACTTTTCCTCGTGACAGCTGAGAGAATGAGCGCTTTATTTTGCATTAGGAAATGTGTCTCGCTCCACGGCAGGCTGATTTCCACCCCATTACGCCCGTATCGTCTTGCCGGGTCTTCTCATCTGATAGGGTTATCACTGCCAGGGTGGTGTGCTGCCAGGCGGAACTTGGCCAATGATCAGAAGGCTCCTTTTCATAAACATGTGAGAGGTACGGCTCGGGAGAGGAGTGGAGTAGGAGGTGTAAGTCTGTTGTTGCACTTGTCGGGGCTGGCATGCCGACTCAGTGGAGAATTCGACTGTCACGGTTGTCGATGTTTTACCGAGGAGGTAAAAACACTCCTGTGATGACAATAGTTTCTTCCTGTTGAACTCTGCAGAAGCCAATATGAAATGATGCAGCCGTCTGCCTAAAATAATGTATTCCTTTGCACTAAAGTTCATTTTAGATCCTCTCAGACACCTTTTTTCATTTTCATTTTCCTGTGATTTACTCGTTGTTTGGGTTGCATCGCATTTAAAAATGTGCTCTTAGATGATACGATGTAAATTACAGGTGTCTCCCAACCTGACAAACTCCTGGCTTTCATCTTTTTTTAAAAGGTGTTATTATTTTTAAACACAATGTCATAGAACCAGTCTGAAAAAGAAGCTGTCATTGCTCTTTTGAGAAAGAGAGAATTGCCTCATGTGTTTTCGCAGAGTTTAACGCTACTTCTGCAGGTCAATGAATCCCTGAAAACTGTCCACAGCGACGTGCTTTGCATGGCTCGAATGATGAAGAGTACTCCCTCCATGCTCGCCCCGCTCGTTCCTTTTTCTCAAACACACAGCTTGCAGCATCCTGACTCTATTACGCTGCTCTCAGCATTTCTTTACTGTAATGTCTGGGGGATTATTTTCTGTCCTCTTGCTCTACACTGTGGGCTTTAGAAATAGACTCTCTACGTTACATTTGTCATCTCTCAAAATAGGACACGCTGCTTCATCTCTGTCCAGCTCAAGCTTTATTCACATGTTGGTAGGTAGACATGATAGAACCTGCTCTTGATTGATAGCATAGGTATCGTTCTTAAACGGTTAAGTTTGACCTGAACATTTGGCAGTGGGTGACCTTTTGTAAAGGAGACGCGGTGGAAAACATTCAGAAATGTCTTTGGCTGTTTCATTCATGTTAGATTTCAAACATGGCCACAGAGCCTGTCACAGCTCAGCTCAGAGAAATACAAATCAGTGATGCCACCAAGGCTAACACAGGGCGCTAGTTTTGGTAGCCCAGCAGGTCAACTCAAGTAAATGAGAAGACATCAACAGAATGATTAATTCTTGTACATTGTATACAAACAGCCTTTTTCTTCATAAATATTTGGTTTCAGGCTCTCAGTGGACGCCATCTTTAGTTACAAATGAATTGGAAGGAAGGGAAGGCTGCACAAGTGTTCACAATTTCCTCATTATGGCGATATGAATTGAAGCCGTTCCCTTTAAGCTCTCTGGTACTTGTTGCGCTGTGACCATGGAAACTCTGGCAGAGTGGTGGTGGTGGTGGAAGGGATGAGCGGAGGCAGGAGGAAAGGGGGAGGGGGGAGGCTGTAGAAAATGAGCGAGAATACCTTCGTTGATGGAGCAAACGCAATAACAGCGGTCATATGATGATGTCACATTGGCTGTGCCTGATGTGACAGTAGCCCTTTTGTTGATGCGTATTTGCTTTCTCTGCGCTGTCTCTGAGCGTGCTGACGGGGTCGTATTTCTCTCCTCTGCAGCAAATGACTGTTCATGTCCAGAGCGTTTGTCTCTATTTATGTTTTTGACTGCTTGTCATGGCACAAATAGAACTCGAGCGCATGTAGGCAGGTTTTAAATAAAGCCCAAAATAAGCTGCTGGTGGAGATGTTG